TACATCTCCACGCACTCTCGACAGGCTGCTCATTCGAGTCCTCCTCCGTCTTCTCTGCGGATGTGTTGCCGTTCACATTCTGTTCCGGTGCCGGAGTCTCAGCGACTTCTATTCGGAAAACAATTAGCCCTGAGCTGAAGGAGACAATTCCAAGCAGATTGATAACATTTATCAAACACCATTTAGAGCTGTGGTGATGATTGTTGCGTACCGGACTTGGGAGCGTCATTGCTGGTTGCGGCCATGATTGATTGATCGAACTCGTCTCTCAGCTATTAAAGGTCCACGATGCAACCGTGCAGAAAGAAGCAACTCAGGCAAAGACTTAATATATTATACAAAAAGGAAGTATTAATGTACAATTGGACGCGGGCGAAGGGTGACGATGAGGTAGAAAAAGAGGAGAGAGAAATGAAGCTTGGTCGCAGCGTCCAAACTTTTTTCTCCAAGTCGCCGGATGAACCCGCCGGTGCCGTACTAAGCAGCCTTTTCCTCGGGCCCCCGGGGGAGGAAACCCTTGAGCCACAGAGCACTAGCCACACCTCCACGCAAGCCTGATGGACTAACAAACATACCCCGACGCTTAATCAAACCGCCTTAACCTCCTTTACCTTCGTAGATCCTCCAAGCGTGTACCAATGTGAAATCTTACCTTTTAGGATAGTATCTCTATTGACCCAATTCGCATGGCTCCACGTCTCTTTCCTGTAGCACTTCAGCTGGCAACGGCTCGTGGCGGTGCAATACTTCCCGTCGCACTAAATTCGACCAACAGCTGGGCAACTCATTTCATAAGAAGACGTCCATCCATCTTCCCCTCCCCCCCCCCCCCCCCCCCAACACGGCCACCTCATCTCTGTCCACTCCAGTCTTCTTATTTTCAATTCCGTTTGTTTGCTTTCATCTTTTAGTTTGTACATCGTGCCTAGTTATTCTTTGTTCCTTCTCATTTGATGCCGTATTGGCGAAACGCGACACCCTCACGCGGGCTGCGGCTAGGGTCCGCGCTATCAGAATAAAATGCTATTAAGGCATCCTCTCTTCAGACATTTCGTGGCTCGTCCCATTCAGGGGCCCTTTTCATTTGTTGTCCCATTACAGCGGACAGGTTCCGCAAGCTTAAATCCTATCAACCTTCTCCATCAGCCAAGGAGAGCCATCACCGGACAAACGGGCCCTCCTACACCAGGAAACGATCCTCCCAATCCCGTAGATGATGCTACAGAAGAAGGCACCGAAGATGGGTCCTCCAATCATTCCAAAGACCAGTGGAAAGGCACTGCATTCAAGATGTTCGAGAGCGCCATGACCACCTTTGCCTCGATTACCATTCTAGGATTGGTTGGGTTCAGCTACACTAGGTACTATAAGTATCTGGTTCTAGAGAAGATGGAGAATGCATTCCGTCCTGGAGATCCTGTTCTGGAACTCGCTGCCGTTGGAAAAGAGATCCCCCACGATAAGAGCGAGTATGACCGGTGGATCCCACGTGAGGAACAAGCCAAGATTGATGCTATTGTTAGAGGCGAGGTGCAAGGCCGGTATCATCTTCTGCTTGGTGAGAAAGGGACAGGAAAGAGCTCTATGATAATCGATGCCATGTCCAAAATCGATGGTGAGGGAGTGGCCATGTTTGAAGCTCATGCAGATCTCGAGATCTTTCGTATTCGGTTGGGGAAGGCGCTGGATTTCGAGTATCACGAGGACAACATTGGGTCACTTTTCTCTATCCGTGGACCACGTGACGCGTCGGCACTCTTGGACATTGAACGGGCTTTCAATAAACTCGAAAAGGTCGCATTAAAACGGCGCAAAGAAGTGGGGAGACCACTCATTCTCATCATCAACAGCGCTCATCTACTTCGCGACGACGAAGACGGCCTGGACATGCTCGAATTGCTCCAACAACGAGCAGAGCAATGGGCTGCTTCAAATTTAGCCACCATGATCATCAACTCGGACAAATATTGGGTTTACGAAAGGTTAAAGCGACACGCGACGCGGATGGAGGTGACGCAAATCAAAGATCTGCCAAAGAATAGTGCTTTGCAGGCCCTCAGGAATTACCGCAGGAAGTATTACAAAGAGGAAACGCCAGAGTCGACCCTAGAGGAAGTGTATGACAAGATAGGAGGCCGTCTTACCTTCCTGAACCGGGTTGCGAAGTCGAAGGATATGCTCAACATGTGCAATCACATTTGTCATATGGAGAAAACGTGGCTCCTGAATCAATGTTGGATTCTGGGTGCTGAAATGGACGACGATGTCATGGATCAGCAGAAGTATGCTGTAAGTACATCATTACGGACTAACATGGTTGTTTTTAACGAAAAAAGTCTTCGGCCATGGTCCTAGCAAACGCCCTCTACAAAAAGTCCTTGGAAATGGATAAAACCTACGATCCCGACAAAGGCCATATCCTGCCCGAAATCCCGCTCCACGAAGCACGCTACATCATGACACGCGCCGACTTCATTCGTCAGCACCACGACATATCCATCTTCGCCATCGACTCGCACGCCATGGTGCGCGCCGACAGCGTCCCTATGCAGCGCGCTTTCCAGGAGATTTGTTCCGAGCCCGGGTTTGAGAAGTTTTTGGAGGACACGCTAGAAAGGATTGCCGATATCGAGAGTTTGGGCAGGACAAAGGAGATTACACTTAAGGATTTGTGGAATGGGGGGAAGTATAGGGTTACGACGAGAGATCGGAAGGGGACTGTGAATGGGGACGTGGAGATGGTTGTTGAGGAGGGGAAGAAGGATGAAGATGAAGATGATAACTAAAGCAGCAAAAGGTTGATGAGGCTCACTGGAAGTCTGGTTTCCCTTCTTTCCTATTCCTCGGATCATTGATACGTCAGACTCGGGATCGGTTAACCGGGCAATGGGTTCTATGTATGATCATCAGGGTTGATGCGACACTGTATTTCTTTCCTTTCAAGTTATACCCTGTATAAGTAACCCTACGTTAAACCTTCTATTCAAGTTTCTTACCCAAAACGTGTAAAGGTATCTAAACACAGTTAGTTCCCTATTCTTATGGTATTTCACGTGATCCAGTATCACGCTATTCATTTTCTGAGCATGTCGCGAATCACAAACCTCACGCCTTTTAATCTCCACCGAAGCGCTGAATATTCTCTTTAGCCAACTCTTCAAGCGCAACCATTGTCTATTTAGAGATATCTCCAATTACCATTAGGATTCCGTAATGATTCTGCGTTGTGACATCCTCCCGCTCAATGCTTAGCGGATTTGAAACAGGACCGAGGGGCTTCAGACGGGACGACAACGCTCTACCCATCAACTATTCATCCCATCTAACTTATAACTCATCATTTGGACCTTCTAGCCACTACTTATGTGCAATCTTCATTGCAGGTCACCTGGAACAGGAAAACATACACTAGAACATCCGCAAACTGCGTTCAAGACTAGGACGCTGCCCTCGCGACACCTATACACAGAGACTACAAGCAACTGACCAGATAACAAACCCAGCCCAAAATATAATGTAGAGTTCATATCGCCCACAACGTCCTGTACGCCCCCTCCTCCCAAAACCTGTATTCCAACTCTCACTACCCCATCCCCTAGTCCTAACATCAACAACAACGCACCTCCACCACAGGAACCTTCTCCCCCCACGCACCCCCTTCTAAGCTGCCCTCACGGTTCTCCATCGTCAAGATACCCACACTCGCCTCGATTTCGGATTCTCCTCCTAAGAAACTCCGCCCTCCTCCTCTCCCTCCGCCCCTCAAACCAAGACCTACCAAACCATAAGCTATATGCAAGCCCTACCAAAGGGGCTCTGGAACTCGGCGGTCACATTCAAGTTAATATTACGAGTTCGGAGGATGTGACGGAGTAGGTTATTCGGGCGGCGACGGGGTTAAGGTGAGGAGTGTTTGGAGGGTTGTTAAGGCGTCTAATCTCAAGGATGAAGAAAAGGGATGGGAAATGGAAAGCGTGTGAGGGGAAGGAAAAATGGGGAAGCCCAAGCGGCCGAACTGTGGCTTTATGGAGAATGTGGAAATCATAGCCAACTGGTCTTTGGTCGGGCCGGTTAAGGAGACGGTTGAGGGGAATATTGAATTATAGGAAATGGCGCAGGTGGTCTTTCTATATTGGTTATAATAGAGTATATTAACTGTTATCCCGGGTAGTTAGATCAAACAATCCTTCTGCAACTCATCATATTGGTTAATGGAGAATTGGAGGGGCATTCAAGGGAGGATGGTTAGGAGGACTAGGAAGGGTGGATGCTAGGTAGGGGTTCGGGGTGAAGGTGGAAAAGGTCGCGATGGGAATGGCCGTAAGTCCGGAGTCTTGGGTGTTGTTGCTGGGGTAGTTGTGGGAATTTGGCTTGCGAATGAGAAATGGACTGGTTTTTGGCATTGCTTTAGGTGTTTGGAAGGAGGCGGGACTGGAAATGGCCGCGGGTCCGTTTGTTTTGTCTCTTGTTCTGTTGTAGCTGCTGTATATGAACCGGGCTTGGAGAAGAGAAGTGGTGTCACTTTCATGGTTCTTTGAGTGCTACTGTTGATGTTAAAGAGCTGATATGGTGATTGTCCGTAAGTCTATTCGTTTTGATTCTTGTTGTCGCTGTCGCCGCTGTACATCGGAGCGCAGGAATAAGAAGTGGTGTCATTCCACGGTTGTTTTGAGCGCTCCTATCTATATTAAGGGGGCTGAGACGACCACTTGCATGAATTATCTCTTCTCTCTTCCCTCAAAGTGGCTGTTATCCCGTCTCTCCGACTATCTCCATTCCTCTAATATTGGATATTTTTCCCTCCCCCTCCCGACTTCTTAAAACCCGTCTCTCCCGACATTTTCTGATCACCAAGTCCATCTCGACTCTGTCCATGTCAGGTACTGCACCAAGAGTTAGGATTGATTACTAGCACAGGCGCACAAGTAGACGGTTACTACATCAAAAAAATGCACTCCAATAAAAATTATACACGAAGGAGCTAGGAGGCCAAAAATAAACACCCGCGATGGGACTCGAACCCACAACCTCAGGATAGCTCTATTGCTAGCCATAGAAATCTATGTTAATAATAGAAGTCCTGCGCGCTAAGCCATTGCGCCACGCGGGCTGATGAGGAAAATTGTAAATATCAAGTATTATAGAGGTATAAATAAAGTGGGGCGAAAATGTGGGAACCATGCGGTGACGCGGTTCGTGATGAGCCCGGTGACGCATTTCAACAGGAGTGGGGTGGTGGGGCGGGGTATTTGGGTTGCCTTATCTTTGTATTTGGGGCTTGAGGAAACAAATATATAAAGTGTGAATGTATATGCAGGGAATGTAGTCCCTAGAAAAGCATGTTCCCGCCTTTCTGCGGTATGATTATCGTATAGTTATCTCTCTTATACAAGGAATTCTGAACAGATCACTATAGTTGGTGAGCTGTTGGATTCAATGCTAAAGAGGGCAGGAACCTCAAAAGCATAGATATGGCCTCCTTCAGCATATTAGGATTATGTATCCCATCTTCAAATCCTCTCGAAGCCACTGGATAATCCCCTGCATCTTCCGTAACAATTCCCAAAATACATTATTCCTTCCACTCGATCATCTCAGTCCGGTATCTTCATTCACACTACATATTATCATTACTACCCTCACCCTTGCCATATTAAAAGCCCTAGTATTGTTAGTATTGTACGTGGAACTAAGATTACGGCATGAAAGTAAAGTTTGAGTAGGTTCTGTGAATTGATTAATTACATTTCCTGACGGCTGTGCAGTAAAGAGCCATAGAAAAGGACTAGGATGTTGACTAAGCGACAGTGAAAACTGTAAAACCTCCATTTTGGGCTCGAGCGAGTGTGAATTATCCTGTACCTGCCGCGATCGAACCTCTGACGATCTTCCAATATACTTTAAAGCATAAACCATACTTCTCCTAAACCATACTTCAGTACCATTACTCTCCAGCACCCCTTAAGTCTCACTTACTGAACTAAAATGACATGCCCGAAACAGTGTTTAACTCAGTGTCTAATTCATCTCCAGCTATTCGGACTCCTTTGACAGGCCAGTCCTTTAATAATGTGTTTCTTTTTAAGAATGCCCTCCCCTTAGTGTAGAACTTCACTGTCCTCTCACAATGCGTCCCTTGTAACAATGCACACTGTCTCTTTGTTCTGCCACCCATTTATTTCCGCATCCATTTCTTCCCTTGTTCCTTCTTACCTCATGATCCCACAGACTCTCTCTACGGAGACCTTGAGACCTTTCTGATACCCTCTTCCCTTGCCCCTTTCCTTCCCATTCCCTAACCCACCCGCTAACATTACTCATAGACAGTCCAGTGATGGTGCTAACCTAACAGCTTTACTGATGGTACTAACGCCCAGTTCTGTTTAAGCTCGGGAAAGTGCTAACACACAGCTCAGCTCAGCAGGAGTACTAACCATACTAGCACATAGCTCAGTGAGGGTACTAATACTATAGCCCAGGCCGAGCTCAGTGAAGTGCTAAAGCACAAGTCATTTGTAGTGCTAACACCACGTCATTCCCTCCCCCCTCTTCCGAAAAGCCATCACACTTGACCTTCCCTCGCACCGAAAACTGCCAGGGTGAGCTTAGGTAAGTTTCTGGCTCCCCTTAAAGGCTCACATATTAGCAGGTTTCCCATCTTCTTTCTCATGTGCTCTCCCTTTGCCTCAAGAGTTCGCGAAAATACATTATACCTCCCTTCTCTCTCAAGAAACAGTTACAGGATCAGCGTTCTCTAACCGGAATAGCCTGTATCAGGTAGTTTCTCCCTCTCCTAAATGCTAACACCTCAACAGGTTTCCATTCTCCTCTCTCTTTCTCCTCCTTCTTCTTCACAGTTCTCGAAAAGCTGGACAATCTTCGTGACTGAATGAGGATGCTGGCGGCACTAGCTTTGTTGCCGGAATAGCTTTATCTCAGATAAGTTTTCCCTCCCCTCCAATACCGATACATAAACAGTTCTTTTCTCCTACTCTGCTTTCTTCTTTTTAGAATTTGGGTCTGGAAAAGCTAGACACTCTATACGTCGGAGTGGGGATGGTGGCTGGACTAGCTTTACTGAGGTAAGTTACCGCTTTCTCTTGAAGATGCTACAGGTCCACAGTAAGTTCGGAATGCAGGAAGGGGAAATGGGTGGTAGTTGAAGGCATTGAAAATATGACACAGAAATGTAGGTGGCACTGCATATGAAAGGCATCCCTTCAACAAAATCTTCTCTATAGAATTTCGGAACGAGTAACGAATCTTTTTCATGGCTCGACTTACAACTTATTTAGCCAGTCTAACAACCGGCATGTCGTGGCTACCATCTACAAAAGTTGCATCGAGACGTGAAGATAAGAGAATGGGCAGATGCGTTGTGAAGATGAGCAAAGAGAAGTAAGGCACACGCTCTCTAGTTGATCCATTGAGCCCATATGAAAGCTTTTTTCGATCATGCGGTCACAGTCTTAAGCCTGGTTGCACTGGTTAGATGGTTGAAAGAGAGGAGGGGAAGTCTACCGTGCAAAAGTGTCCATGCATTGTGCCTTGACAAGTTTAGATATCGACAAAGACGTATTGTAGAATCTGGCCATTGTTAGTACCCTTCAACCAATCTTCACGCAATCCCCTCAAAGAGACACCACCATCACCATCGTAACCCATCTTCTCGTGTTGCTGACTCGTGCCTCATGTCGACGATCTATCCCATCCAACCGGGAACGTCATACCAAGACACCAGCCATCGCGATCCAACCGCTACACAAGCTGTAGATCCAGATCCCCTTTCAGCCGTCAGCCAACGGAGATGGTCGCACCGTTTCAAATTTCAGACTTCGTGATCCTCAGCTGGTGTGATGGATGAGGTGATTGGAATTGAGATGCGCAAGAGATAACGTCGGCGGGCCCAGTGCGGTATATAGATAACCCCTCCCTCCCCTCCCGCCGACGCGAACTTCCTCTCTCCCGTTTTCCGAGATCGTAAGTATTCGGTAGGATATTCCTCCCTAGGCCCGTCGGTTTGTTCGCCCATTTGAATCCCATTAGTGTTCTTTCATCACTTGCATTCTGCTCCGCACCTCACCTCTCCCCAAAAGCCATCTTACAAAGAAACAATTAAAGATATTCCAAGAATCACACATCTGGCTATTCAAAATTCCTACAGATAATTCTCCACATAAGCCTCTCCTCCAGTCAGTCGTATTCAAGATAAAGAGTGGCCCCCAAAAAGCCGAGTCCGTCGAATATACAACAGGAGACGAACCACAGCATCAGAGTCATGATTCCAACATTGTTTCCATTCCACATAAAATCCCAATCCAACAAACACGAGGTAAAGAATGTAAGAACGAGAAGAAAAGAAAAACTCCGGATATATGGGCATAGATTCGTTGGTATAGTCTCTCGACGCCGGACCATGAAAAAACACCGATCAAGATCTGCAGCTTTAACCTCGAGGGCCATCGACACTGTTATATTCCGATCGCATAAATCGAAATGCGTTTAGCAGTGGAAGCCCTCTCATCGGTGCTACAAAAGCTGTCGGCGGAGTCCGCGGAGATGGTAAGTTCATTTGCTGCTTTGCTGATTGTATTACAGGCCGGAAAGTATTGAAAGACAAAACAAAGGAAAGGCGTGCACAGTGTCGAATCGCTATCGTGAGGACGTGAAAGGTGAGAAACAGCAGGCGATGGGTTATCCTTCCATCTTCCGATGAGAGATGGCGGTGAAGATTATTCCTCCATCTTCCCAAACACGCCGTCGTCTTCGTCATAGCCAGGACTGTCCATGTCGACGTCCCTGCTCTCCGGCTGGCGGTATCCGTACGAGCCACGTATGCTCGATTGCTGCGCCGAAATGGTGGCGGTCCCTGACAAAGAGTCGGGTTTGTTAAAGGGCAGGAATTTAGCAGGTAGAGGAGGGACTGGGGGAACATCCGGAGGAAGCGCCATTGGGCCCGTCTTGGGCGTGCCATACGAGCAGCTCAACAAACCTACGGCAGCGGCCAAGTCCGCCTGGTCATTCTCTTCATCCACATAAGAGCCTGCGACCGATGTGCCAGATGTCGTAGGTCGTCCGTCCGACACGTTGCTCCACTGTCGATAATGACCATGTCCATGGTCAGAAAACACAGTCGACTGGTATGACTGACTGTAGGCAGAGCTGTTGGCCGAGTACCGCTTGGAAGAGCGATGTGCAAAGGGAGGACGGTAAGACCCAACATGATCCTCCAACTGCGGAGGCGGAGTCGTGTCTGTCGAGCTGAGCTCATCGTCGCGCGGATCAGACGAGCCTGATGCTGCTGGAGACATGGACGAGCGGTAGCTCTCCTTGACCGCCTCGCCTTCGAGGTTCATGGCGACAAGGACCGACGCCGCTTCCAAGAGCTGCACCTGCTGGTGCTTGGAGATGAGCAGTTTGGAGGTGTATTGCCATTCCGGCGTGTGTTCCCAACTAGATAACGTCAACCAATGATTTGTTCAAATAATATCGTGCGAGTATAAAAGGGCCGTCTTGAAATATGAAAGTATGCGGGCGGAGGGGAGTTGGGTTACTAACAGATGTTTGGTCAGACAACTGCTGTGCTTGTACCCCTTCCCACATTTTTCACATCTCAATTCGCTACCACTTGACCTCTTCGGCTCGCCCTTGGAGAGACGAGAGCCTTCACTTGCGCGACGTATCCTAGATTTACTGTTGCCCTTTTCATGCTCGGGCATACCCGCAAGGGGCGGTCCGTCGGTGACGGCGGCCTCAGTCTTGGCGGCATAGCTCCCCGGACCAAACGCACCTCCATTATTCGGGACGCTGCTTGCCATAGCCGGGTAGTTGCTCAGCGCAGGACCGCGAAAGCCCGAAGTGGGCTTGGACATGCGTCGCCCTTCTAGAGGACCTCCCATTGCCTTTGCCGCTGCTACGGCATTCAGATTGTGAACAGCAGTCGAGGACATGCTTTTCCGGCGCGTCACCCTCTGAGCCGGGTTGAGCGTCCCCACTGACATGGAGTGGGAGTGCGGGCGAGACTTGGGGAGCGAGCCGGCTATGCTCGACGAGTGTCGGTGTTGAGTCGTTGGTCGGACTGAGGGCGGTTCCTGCAGGAGAACAGGGAGT